GAAAGTGCTAAATGTTGCATTTTAAATGCAGCAAAAACGCTGCATAATACCTATATCTTTATTGTCTTGACAGCATTGTCTAACTTATACTAGGTTCACATATAAGTAGATTATCCTCATTTTCGAGCTTAACACCCTAATCTGTAATTATAACAAGAGATTAGCCATATAAAATTCGTCCCTTGTTAATCTGTAATTATAAAATAATCTCAGATTTAACCGATAACTTTTCGGTGTCCATCCTAGTTTTATCGATTGTTTTTGCGAAAGAGAGGAGAAATGCCAAATGCAAAAGCAAACAAAAATGTACGCTAGCAAGTAAAAGAGGTTTGTAAAGGTATTTTTAATAAAATGTTAAGTTAAAATATATTTATATTGCTTATTATAGCAGAAAAACGTGATCACGGTGGCACAGAGAAGACACATAAATTTTCCTTGAGATATGAGAATAACAAGCACAACAAATTTGACGGCTTATAATCTGAGATTTGCCTGTGTAAACGGGGTGATTAAAAAACGAGCTTTGATTGAGATAATATTGATATGGGAACATAGTTTTACTTAGGGTTTACACCGGACGATACCGTCATGACAATTGGGGTGTTCACAGTTCGTTCCAAATAGTGTCTCAAAATGTAGACGTCTACATTTTAAGACGTTTTCTAACCGTAAAATCTGTGGTGTTGTTGTTTCCCATACAAAATTGGAAAACGACGCCGTCTACATTTTGTCACACTCAAAGGTATGTTTTTTACGCGTCTACATTTTGCAACCTCGCAGCAGGGTTGCATTATGGCAATACTAATCACATTTTTTTTATTTATTGGGCACGTTTTCTGTATTTGCATTTAATTTGAGCGCAATTTCTGATGAAAAGAAACAAATCAAGGAAAAGAAATAACAAATATTACGAATTGGTAATTAAGTTAAATAATTTCAATTTTTCGGAAACAAAATCGAAAGGCGACATAAAAAATGCACGCAAGGAAGAAATGTCTGGCAACACCAGCAAAGTTTTGAGACGATTTTGCGACGACTGCTAGAAAGGGGTGCTCACAGTTTGATGCTAAAGATGTCTCAAAATGTAAACGTCTACATTTTCAGACACAATTTGGAACGAACTGTGAACACCCCAAATAGCAATCCATGCACACTTTTTCACTAATAAGTACATGCATACTTTTCCGTGCATGCGGTTTTGACAACGTCCAATGTAAACGTAAAGCGTCCAACGTAAACGCAC